CTAAGTTAAGTTAGAAAGAGTTTAATAGTACCAAGGAAAAGAAAATGCTGGGTAATAAACGATTTTTGGGGTCGTTCTGATTTTTTGCGTCACACTGATCTTGAAATCTGATTGGCCAGTGAAATTTTTTAGGTTGGTAACGCTAGAACAAAATTGATTACACGGATTTGCAATTATTGTTTATATGGTGATGCAATATACAAGTGCATCGTATACATTTAAAAATTATCTGAATTTTTAGAACAAGATGCTTTAAATAACCATTTATTTAAAAACATATAAAACCGTTCCTATGAACAAATTTACTTTAAATAACTTACATGATAATATTGAAATATGTATATATACTGTGAAACGTCGAATTGCAATGAATATAAGAGAATAAATTAACGGTCACGCTGTAAAATCAGTTAATCACATGACTTCCAAAGACATTTTAATATCTAGACAAAATGTTTTCTTAATTCATTCTTTAAAGCCTGATTATCTTGGGCGAACTTTCTAATGCCTTCAGAAAGTTTTTCAGTGGCCATTGCATCTTCGTTGAGGTCCCACCTAAATGAATTTTCGTCATAAGTAACTTTTTTTTCATTATCATCTTATATTGCGAAAGAAAAACATATATAAGTATTAATAAAATTTTCAATGAATCACAATTCCAGTCGATTAATATTTAAAACATACTCGGCTCAAGGCACAACTTTCTTTCAATCTTTTTAGTATCGTTTTGCAATTCATTCAACAACGCAGGACTGATAGTTAAGAAATCACAACCGGCTAATTCTTCAATTTCACCAGTGTTACGAAAACTTGCGCCCATTACAATAGTTTTATATCCATGTTGTTTATAATATTTATAGATTCTAGTGACAGATTTCACACCAGGATCACTTTTGGCATCATAAGTTTGACCGGTATTTTTTTTGTACCAGTCAAGAATTCGGCCAACGAAGGGGGAGATTAGAGTTACGCCCGCTTCTGCGCATGCAACAGCCTATATAAATTAATTCAAATAGAGTGTTATTTTGACAGGTTAAATAAAAATGAAAAAAAAGATATATACAGCCAAGACCTCTCTAAATGTAACCATCCTGAATGCATAGTCTACGAAAAACCATCTAAACGCATGGTTCTGCTTCGTCTTAACTCCCTAAATGCAATACCTCCCTAGATGCAAGGTTGGCAATATTTTCATATAGCTTTTGGCATTACATTTAGATATGTTTGACTGTATATGTAGATATATATACCTGAGGAAAAGAAAAAAAGTAGAGTCAAATTACAATGAATCCCTTCTTTTTCGAGTCTCTCAGCAGCTTTAATTCCTTCCCAAGTTGAAGCAACCTTGATCAATACGCGAGACTTATCAATACCAACTTCTTCATAAAGTTTGATAAGACGTCTAGCTTTGTTGATTGTCGCCTCAGTATTGAACGAAAGTTTAGCATCTACTTCAGTAGAAACACGACCTGGAATGATGCTAAGAATTTTGGAACCAAAATTGATCAACTATAACAAAAGGCATTACAGATTAGATAAATTTAATTTATTAATATTTGTGAAAAATGAGAAAGAATTTACCAATTTATCAGCAGCCCACTCAACTTTTTCGTCGATAGTTCTAATAAAATAAAATAAAATAAAATTGAGGGTAATTCTTAATTAGATTAATTAGATCGTAAATTATTCAAAGATATACCCTTCTTTCTTCTTCGCATATTCTATAGCAGAATCAATTAATTCATTATAAGTAGACTTTTTGGTAGCAGCCAAAATCAAAGAAGGATTGGTGGTTGCATCTTGGGGTTTATATTGAGCAATCGCTATTTTAAAATTACAAAATAAAGTAGGTTAAAAGAAAAAAGAAAAATCAATTCAATTACGATCAAAATTTATAGAATAACATTAATAAGATTAATACATACATTCAAAATCACCCGTATCAGCAACGATGGTTGTCCATGCTTTTATTTGATCAAGAACTGAAGCCATGATCGATTTAAAAATTCAAAAAAAAAAAAGCAAAGAAGGTTTAGAGAGAATAACAAGAATTCATCTCAATTTATGTTTTTTGATTAGTAAGACCATAGCTAATCATTGTACATCTATTCCTGTTTTAATTAGAGCATAGAAAAAATTGCGATTTCCTCATGTGCAACATCTACAAATCTATTGGCCGATGATAATCATCCAGTTCATATATATACAGTTAAAATAATTTAATTTTTTAAC